ACGGGTTGAAGAGGTTGAAAATCATGCTTATATGTTTGAGTTACCACCTTAATTGGACGACATTCACGACACTTTCCAAGCGTGTTACTTGAATAAATGTCTTAATGGAGAAGTTGGTACGATTCCACTTGATGATCTAAGGTTAGATGAGAGTAAACTCTTGATTAAGGAGCCTGAGGCGGTTTATAAAGTGGAAGACAAAAATCTAAGAAATAAAGAGACTGAACTTGCTATTGTGAAGTGGAAGCACAATCCAGGACAAATATCTCAAAAAGCAGATACCTTAACTTGCTTGATGGCTTAGATGTTATAATGACATTATCTTTTCCTAAGTAATGGATAATTGCACCTTACTTAGTTACTTAAGATGAAGTTAAGATATTTTATAACAATAAGGAAATATTAATTAAAAAAATTAATTATCAAAGAGAATTTGATATTATTAGGGTATTTTTCTTTGAATGGGAAATCAAATATACTTCTAAACCACTCATTGAATCCACTTATGTCTACTGCTGTGTTAGAAGCTCTTTTTCTTATTAAGGTATCTTTGGTATATACTTAAAAGAGAAATTAAATATATACTCCTACATTTTGTTCCTACTTATCCTCTACCATATCAAATGTTGACAAGTGGATTAAATGATTATTAATTCATTAAATTAAATGTGATATGATAGAAGGATAAGTAGGAACAAAATGTAGGAGGATAATTAAAAAGATGGAGTGACGAGAACATACTTGCAGTACATGAGGTATTATTTTATGTTATTTAAATCTAATTAATTTTTCTTACCGATATACGATATATGTAATTTACTCTTAACTTTAATGACATATGGCATCTATGTGGGAGTCGAGTCACTCAAACCGTGTCATATATGTAAGCAGTCCAATATTTTACATACTGATGAATATTATCAAATTTATAAATATATTGTAATCATTGATAGACATTAAATACATTATCCACATACTAAAAAGACAATATACATTGTTGTTTCTTGAAATTTGTCATTTGTACTTATTTATCATAACAAATATAAACTAGCGATCCGCATGATATTCTCCATGGCAAATAAATGCACTCAATAAAACAAAGTTTACATCTATGGCAATTAAATATACTTAATAAAACAAAATTTATGCGTCTTATTAATAGTAGATTGGTTGGTGAACTTCTAAATAATGAAGTTTTGGGGAAGATGTGATTTAACAAAAAAACAAAAGTACAGGGGTGCAGATTGTAACTTGTAAGTCCTGCAATTGCTCTAATCATATATGGAGATGTAACTGAAAGATGATGTCGACTTCGTCCAAATCCAAAGTGAAGGCCCACACGGTGTTCGGGTGTATCTGCACTGCTGTAGTTTCGTGATCATAATCTGACGGCTGATATTGTTCCAATTACATCTTGGAATGGTTTGACCTTTTTTCTATGTTGACTAAATGGAAAATGCGTTTCCCACGATATCTGGTATATGCCGGTTTTTATGCACATAATCATATAGAAATTCAATTAATTTATTATTCTCCAAATCACACATCAACTTGTATTTTTTATATTTAAAGATTTTGTTTTTTAAAACTCATAATTATTGCAAATTTTCTGTCACTAAAAGCATCTCCATCAAGTTTGTAGAAGCCTTGCGAAGTGGTATAAAATTATGTTATTATTTTAATATTAAACATTTTACATATTTGCAAGTCATGTTGCAAATCACCATTACAAAATAAAACCATATTAATATATTATTATATCTGTTTATTATGTTAGTCTGTTACATAATTAATTTATTCACATGTTAAAATGTAGTTATTAACTATGATTAAATTAAATATTAAAATTATAATTATCCATTAATTAGATTTTAACGATATTTTGATTATTAAACTATATATTTTAATTTTTTGACTTATGAAAAACAGTAATATTGTGTTATAAACTTTTGTTATTTTAAAACTAAAAATAGCAAATACAATTTTTTTTTTTGGAAAATAAACAAATAAAATTATACAATCTGGGATGAAAAATATATAATAAAATCAACATAAATTGAAATACATAAACTTACACATAGTAATATTAAAATCTCCACGATCTTAATTAAAAAGCAAAAAAGAAGACTGCAACGAAACGGAAACTGGGCTGTAGCCTGTAGGTTTAGTAACAGAATGTGGGAAATGGCAGTTGCCAAATTGGGCCTTTAACAGTTTAACTGGTCCCCTGTTTAAAAGATTTATATAACCGGGCCTCAATAGTATAAACTACTAACAAAGGCATTCGTCATAGCCTCATATTATAGGTGTCAATACTAAATAGGCCTTAAACAGGGCTTGGTTAACCGGTCTTGAACCGGGTATATTTTAACCGGATTTGCATTTGCAATAATTATAAAATCAAAAAAGGAATCTTATAAAACGGATTTTAAATCAGGGTTTAAAACCGGGCGAACAAACATAACCGGTTCATCATAACCGTTTTTTTTAACCCGACTTAATTTCAACGATCGTTATATAATTAGTTGGGTCTATTTGGACCGAACCTCCCTTAGCCCAGACATTCTTTAGCTGATCTTGGGCTGGGCCTTTCTTCGAGACTTCTAAGAAAGTAGGAAGAGATGATGGATGAGCATAGCTATCTGGAATGTATCAATTGAGATTATCAAAAAAGTATGTAATAGTTTTTATACAGGTAAAATAAAACTTCACCGAAGAATATCAAATCATGATCTGAGTTCGTTGTCAAGTTGAGTGGATTTTACGTCAGTGTTGTCACAAAACATAGTCTCCTTGACTTATGCAGTTTCTTTTCATAATCATTTGGAGGATAGTCTGCGATATTTCGACATAAATTCATAAGTTTACTATAATGTCAATATTAAGCCAATTCAATTCGTTAGTTTTGGTTGTTTGATCGTTGTGGGACCATCAATGTGATCAAGAACATCCAAACCTCTCCAATGGGTTTCAAAAAGTTCTCTCTAAACATAATAATTAAGTCGCTCGAGATTAAGAGCCAATGAAATGAATGCATTGATATAGGCGATTTTAAAGGGTCTGTCGATTGAAAGAGGAGAAGAAGGGGACGAGGAAGAAGTGTAGCCATAAAAAAGTCGACAACGCAATGCATGTTTCTAGAGGAGGTGAGAGAGAATTAGGGTTTAGAAAAAAAAAAATGCTTTGATAACATGTTGGATTATGGTTTTCTTACTATTATTGTAGAATGTTTCTGAATGTTTCTGAGGTTGAAAATGGTTCATAAGCATATTATCTTGTTTATTGGATTATGGTTTACTGGTTATTTGTATAATGTTGTTTTACTCATAAGTTAGATAGAAACTGTGGCTCAAATTCAATGTGTATGTTTGGGTGAAATGGGTCACCGTGTATGTAGAAAAAGGTAAAAATTTCATATAGTTATACATCTTTGTGTATTTTCGTATGTATTAATGTATAGGCAATTGTTCCCATCTCTCATTTTCATGAGAACCAATAATAAAATTTCTCATTGACAAGAAAACTTGAAGATAGATAAGATAGGTCTGTTATTAAAAGAAAACTGTTTATCTAAATTAACAAAAAAACCAAATATTAATATGTCAGTCAATTAATCCTAAAAATATATATAGACGTAACGTACGTAGAAAAATTATAAATTCCTAAAATCATAAGGAGAGCTTAAACCCAAATTCTCCTTGTTGCTTCACCGGCGAAGAATGTATCAAGTTCCGGTGGATGGAAATACCCGACCTTCGACTGCTCCCGCTTCTTCCGGCGGACTGCCGCCTTCTTTCTGGGTGGAGGTGGGCACTCTGTTGCAACCGGAATTCGACTTTCCTGCTGCTTCGGCGTCGTGCATTCTTCTTCCATATAATTGCGAAAAATCAACAAAACTGGATCGTGAATACGTAGGGTGGAGTATGCAGTGGTAGTGTATTGTGTTTGTGTACACTGAATCGATCGAGATCGTAATTTATTGTTTGGAATGTTTGGGTAAGAAGTAGAAGTGGGGATGTCGGGAGGAAAGTGGGAGGAAGAACACTTAGTTGACTGTGATTTGAAAATCATAGTCACCGACTCACCGGTCTTTTGAGAAGGAGAGAGAGGCGGCATGGTGACCTGACCAAGTCAAACACGGCTCCTTTCACATCCGTGTTGTGTTTCTTAATTTGTAAAGTATAACAGTAAATTATATAACAGTAAATTATATAAGTTGTTCATTGTTGTTTAGTATTTTGATTTGGTTTTAATTATTTTATTAGTACAAATTGCAAAAAGTAATCCTCCTTAATAAACGAAGGTTTTTTTTGAGTTTTGACACTTGTAATTTTGTGGTATTTTTGAAATAAATATTATCCACTTGTCAATTTTTGGTTTGTTTCAATTTTTAAAATTAAAGTCATATATTTATATATGTAAAGTATTAAATATTAAATTGCAATAAATATCTTTATTATTTTCTTATTTTAAAGTTCTATATTAAAAAATATTTTCTATTTACACTTTAATGTTTAATCTTTTTTTAAATCAACCCGTGTAATACACGAGTCTCACACTAGTAAGATATATTTTCAATATCTTATTATTGATGTTAGGAGTCTATTTTTGTCATTAATGTTACATGCTCCCGTTTCTTTGTGTATTTAAGAACATTTTTATGATTTTATATGATTTATGTATTTTTTATAAATATTAATTAGTTTTTTAAGAGATCCATTTATAAATTTATATTTATATAACCTAATAAATCAGTTACCTCATTAAAAATTTAATATAAGAATATAACCCTTACTTACTTGCCCATAAATAACTATATAAAGCGAACACAACTAAAAATCCATTTTATAAATTCGGAATTTCTAACAGAAATTATGTACGCGGATACCCAAACATGAAACATCCACATATAACAATTACAAAATCCTAAAATAGCATAATTAAAAATGCTCTAGTTACAAATTCACATAGGACACAACTCATATTACATGATTGTTTTGATGTTTAAAGACATATTTGTAGCTCATTGTACATCAAGGTCTGGGTGGTGTAGTCGGTTATCACGCTAGTCTCACACACTAGAGGTCCCCGGTTCGAACCCGGGCTCAGACATATTGTTATTTTTAACGTATTTTTTTGATTATTTATTTACTCTTGCTTGCTCAAATGACAAATCAAACCTGTACTTGAAGTAATTGGGTATTCTTCCTTCCTTCGTTTGATTGTTTTCCTCGCTTTTTTGTCTGCGGATTCGTAATCAGATATTTTGAGATTCATTCATTCGCTCGATCGACCAACACGAACACGAGCCAACGAAATGGATTGGGGAACTGTAACAACAGAAGATCTGATCGAAGCGCTTAGGGAAGTCGATTGGTCATCACCTCCTCGTCCTCTCAACGAATTTTTTTTCCAGATTCACCGTCCCTCGTTCCTCTAGCAAATGGAACAGTCGCCTCAAGTGTAATCTCTACTAGTACGTTCTTATCTTCCTCTAGTTCCTTCCGTTCTGTTCAATCGTATCTGAATTATATGTTCTATTCACTGATTGTTGAGTTGTTGATTTGATTTTGCGGACAATCAAGATTAAAATTAGAATTCATGGATTAGTATAATTAAACCCTAAATTCTAATACGTTTCGTTTGAAACTTTGGTTTACTTCGTATATGTTACTTTGGCAATCGCCGATTGTTGTATGAATATATCATCTGTCAGCCCTAACTTTGGTTTTATAACATCTGTTGTGACTTACTAAACTAATTCAAGTTAGGTTCTTGTTAGTTTTGCAGCTTACGTATGATGATTTTTCCTGAATTGAGATGCTCTGTTAACTTTGCTGAAATTATCTGGTGCCTAAGCATTTGTTGCTTTTAAGTCTAGATGCATCTGAAATTTGGGGATTGAAAAAACCAAATAAACCTAGATTTGCAAGTTCTGACATGTCTTATTAGTTTTGTGGCTTATGTGTATGCTCTTTCTTTGAAAATGTGTTTTCCCTTGGTTATAAGCAGGTTTAACATTTTTATGCTTTTTGCAGCTACCGGACAAATTACTTCATCATGATTGTTTTCATTCTTGGTAAGCTAATTGAAATTTATTGAAGGTTCATTTCCTGTGAAGTTTTTGATAATTCTCCATATATATATAGATGACAATCTTGAATTTTGTTAACTGCAGGATTAGGATTTATCAGGAGGCCATTTGCTATAGTTGCTGCCATGTTGACTGCTCTTACTATAGCTTTCTTAAATGACAGGTACGCTGCTATGTACCTATACTATTATGCATGTTGAATTGCTAATATCTTTGGTGATAGCTAGATATATTTGACTGCTGTATACTTTATGCGACTATTGCCACTGGGATTCTTTAAGAGAATTGCACAAACTTTTGGCTTCACTTTTATCTATGGTCTGCAAATATTTTGTCAATAAAATATATGTATTTAATAACAGCTTCCATTAATACCCATGCTGCTACAAAACTTGTTGTTGGGAAGGGGTAGGGATTGTTGCTTTATAAATTTTCTGAGTAATTGTTTCTATGCCTTAAGCCTTAGTGATTAAGAGTGTAAGTTTGTAACATTAGAGTAATAAGAAATTGTATATAAGATATCTATTAGTGTTGATCTTTATCATCTTTAGGATTATTAGTAATTTTATTGTTGGTATACCACTTTCTATCCAAAAAAGAACCTTTTTCTCTTTATTGTAAAATGTTATTCAAGTTTTCTGAGCACTGGTTTACAGCTTTGCAGGGACATTTAGTGAAAAGGTGACTAGAACTGTGAGGCGGTTTTCTCCACACATGGCAGCAAAAATGAGACCTCCACTAACGTGAGCTTTTTCCTTATTTGCCTCAGTTTTTCTTTTTTAATATAATTTAAATAACACTTCTTACATTTGTGTCTTTACATCTACAGACCTGTTATTCGTGGGCGCCCTTCTTCTAAGAGAACAATTTATATATGTGGAAAACCTCGTTGGGTGTGTGTTTCATTATTCTCTGCTGGTATGTCAAACACTTTTAATTCTTTCTTTTTAACCAAAAAAGATTAAACAAAAAAAGGATTGAATTTTATCCCCAAATGGTACCTAACCTAGTACTTGTTTGTTTTTATTCAATGCAGCGAGTTTCTTTGTTTGGTTTATTTCTTGTGGGCTCTTGACTTTGCTATGGGCATGCGCCATCGGCCTTCTTGGTAATTTCCATACTCTTTGTTCTTGTTATTTATTTGTTAATACTGTGTTTGACATGTACTGTGTAACAAACGAGGTCCGGTTTTCTAATTGCTAACAATTCCATGTGAAATTTTATTGTCAGCAACGGTGTTGCATGCAAGCTTTCGGACACCCAATTTGAAAGCTCGTCTGAATACATTCCGTGAGGAATTCCGTGCAGTTTGGCGCAATTATAGCGAACTGTAGGTGTGTGTAGATTCATGTGCTTACTTACTACTACTACTACTACTACTCTTTATTTCAGTTTTGAGGATCCTCATGTTTTAGTTGTTATGGAGTTTTACACCATGTGTTCTTTTATGTTAATAATATTTCGTAATTGGAAGCCTTTTTACACGTTGTATTTGCTGCCTTTTGCATTTGAAATGTTTCATGTATGCTTTCATTGTTGTTTTTCTTTGAAAATGAAAATTGGAATCATTTCTCATTACTTGAAAAAGGCTGACCGTACAAATATATACAAGAGAGAGTACCAGATAACCACTCTCTAACTAATCACTAACTATAGTTACATATCTAACGGTAATAAAAGTCAACTAGAGTCAAACTGGTTATTACACCAATACCCCCCCTCAAGTTGGAGGAGGATGATCAATCATACCCAACTTGAAAACTGCTTCACCATGAAAACTGCTTCACCATGATCAGAACCAGATAATACTTTGGTTAGAATATCAGCTGGTTGTTGCTTGGTAGAAATGTGACTCAAGGAAATCAATCCACCTTGTAATTTCTCACGAACGAAATGGCAATCAAGCTCGATATGTTTGGTGCGTTCATGAAATACTGGGTTCTTGGCGATGTAGATTGCAGCCATATTATCACAACGAAGAGGAATAGGGGTAATTTCGGAAATATCAAATTCTGCAAGTAATCGACTCAGCCAAGCTAACTCAGAACATACACGACGCATGGATCGATATTCTGCTTCAGCAGATGAAAGAGAAACAGTGGCTTGCTTCTTTGACTTCCAAGAAATAGGACTTCCCCCATAGTGATGAAATATCCACTTACAGATCGACGAGTGGTTGGGCATGCTGCCCAATCTGAATCGCAAAAAGCCTCAAGCTTGAAATCTGGCTTGTTGTTTAAAAGAAGACCTTTATGAATTGTATTTTGCAAATAATGCAAAACATGAATAGCTGCATCCATATGACTCTGACATGGTGAACTGTTGAATTGACTAAGAAATTGAACTATGAAAGCAATGTCAGGTCTAGTGTGTAACAAGAAATTAAGCTTTCCTGTTAATTGTCGATATTTAGTAGGATCAAGAAGAGGATTTTCTTTGTTGTAAAGTGGTTTAAGTTTGCTAGGAAGTGGAGATGTAATATGATTGGAAGAATGAATAGAGTAATTATCCAATAATTCCTTGATGTATTTATGTTGATGCATTATGATACCATCATTGGTATGAATAAATTCCAATCCCAAAAAGAAGTTTATAATTCCCAAATCCTTGATTTGAAAACGGTGATGAAGAAGTCTTTGTAAATCAAGAATTTCCTTTTCATTGTTACCGGTAACCAAAACATCATGAACGTATACAGCAACAATAACAATGGATGCACCATTTTTCTTTGTGAACAAAGAATGATCATTTTTAGATCGAATGAAGCCTTTGTCATGTAAAGTCGATGACAATTTGTCATACTATTGACGTGAAGCTTGCTTTAGTCCATACAATGACTTTTTCAACTTACAAACCATTGAAGAAGAAGATGTATCCATGCCAGGTTTAACTTCATATAAACATCCTCATGTAAATCTCCGTGAAGAAAAGCATTATTCACGTCAAATTGATGAATTTTCCACTCTTTCTTCACTGCAAGATTGATCAAACATCTGACAGTATTAAACTTGATAACAGGAGAAAATGTTTCATGGAAATCAATACCCTCCTTCTGTGTAAAACCCTTTGCCACAAGACGAGCTTTATATCGCTCAACTGATCCATTTGCTCTGTATTTTACTTTATATACCCACTTACATGAAATGGGTCTTTTGCCTTTTGGGAGTGGAACAATATCCCAAGTATGATTTGCATGTAAAGCTTCAAATTCCTTTTTCATTGCTTCTTCCCATAGCTCATTCCCTTTAGCTTGATGATAAAATTGAGGTTCAACGACTTTAGATTGAACATTGAAAGCCAAAAAATCAACTTGATTGATGAAATGATCACATGAAACTTCATCAGGAATGAAATAATTTGTAATAGTATGACTACAATCATCAAAAGAATCACTATGTGAATGAACATTATTGCAAATGTAATCATTAAGATGGGAAGGCCTGATAGATACTCTGGATGTCCTTCTTAATTGACCTTGATCATTGTGTTGTTGTGGAACATGATCAGGTGAAACAGATGGCATTGGCATCAGATCATTTGAGGAAGAAGAAAAATGATCATTATGAGAATAATTTTGGTCATCAAATGCAACAGGAAAATATGAAACATGGATGTTGAAATCATCAATTGTGTGTAAAGGAAATTTATCTTCAATAAAGATAACATTTCTAGAGACAGAATTACCCCTGGTATCCAAGTTAAGAACTTTATACCCTTTTTGTCCAAAAGGATATCCAACAAATATACATGCATCAACTCTAGGCATAAACTTGTCTCGTTGGTGAGAATTAGTAGAGACATAACAGAGACATCCAAATGATCTTAGATTTGAAAGATCTGGTTTCCTTTTGAAAAGTTTTTCATAGGGAAAGAAATTATCAATAACCTTTGAAGGAATTCGGTTAATGATATAAGCTGCAGTAAGAACACATTCTCCCCAATATGCTTTACCAAGACCAGATTGAAAAAATAATGCCCTTGACACTTCTAAAAGATGTTTATGTTTTCTCTCAACAATTCCATTTTGTTGAGGTGTATGAGCACACGATTTCTGATGAAAAATGCCATGTTCTTGAAAAAATTGGACACCTTCATTGCTTGACCCCATTTCAAAAGCATTATCTGTTCTTATGACTTTAACAGTAGTGTTAAAATGGTTATGAACATATTTGATAAATGCTTGAATGATAGTAAAAGCAGATCCTTTATGCTTTAACAAATGAACCCACGTGCATCTTGAATAATCATCAACTAGAGTTAAGAAGTACTTAAAACCATTGTAAGTATCAACCTTGTATGGGCCCCAAACATCAACATGCAACAGATCAAAAGGTTCTTGAGAATGTGAATCACTATTAGTAAAAGACAGTTTGTGTTGTCTTGCTTGATGACAGATTGTACAAGTTTCAAAAGACAAATCATTACAATATTTAGAAACTAAAGACAAGGTTTTCATCTTATAGATTGGTAGATGACCTAATCTATAATGCCAAAGACTATTATTATCAATCTTATTACAAGCCATACAACCTTTGATAGAATCATCTATAGAAGCAGGATTCTTCAAGATCTTGTAATTCCTTATGTAAAGATTATTTATCCTTTTGCCAATGATGAACTTATTCTTGGATAAAGGGGCCTGCATAACACAAAACTCATCAGTAAAAATCACCCAAACTTTAAGTTATGTAGTGACCTTTGAAACTGATATGAGATTGTGTTTGAACTCAGGAACATATAACACTTGTGAAAGCATTATTTTATCATGTATAGGAACATTGCCATATTGAGAAACTCGAATAGACTGATCATTAGGCAAACCAATTAGATGAGATCTTGAAAATTTGTTTAAAGATGAAAACAAAGTTTTATCACAACAAATATGATCAGATGCTCCTGAATCAATGATCCATGTTGAATGTGCTTTATTTGAACCAAGAACCACATTGAAAGCATATGTAACGTGTTCACCATTGGAATCAATGAAATTACCTGATGTATCCATAGCACCATCATTAAGAACATAATTGACTCGAGTAGAATCATTGCAGTTGGTCTTGGATAGCAATTCTAAAAGATGTTTGTATTGATCTGAAGTGATGACTTGAGTATTGTCAATGACATTATGAGCTATAGAGTCAACCTTCTTTGATTTTGTGAATTTGAAATCAGTGGGAAAACCAATTAACCTCTAACATTGAGATTTGATATGTCGTGCCTTCTTACAGTGAGAACAATATTTCTTGGATGATTGATAAGTGGAATTCTGAACATTAACATTCATAACCATAGAATCGACAACAAGATTAGGATTAGCGGAAATTTCTCTTTCCCTTTCTTCATGAATCAACAAGGAATGAACAGTAGAAATACTTGGAGGTGGAGTCATCATTAAGATTTGCCCCCTAATTGCTCTGTATGAATCATTGAGTCCCATAAGCAATTGAACAAGCCTTTGTTCTTCCAGAAATTTGTTGATTGCATTAGAAGATCCACATGTACAATTTGGAATTTCATGTATGACTTTTAATTCATCCCATATACGTTTGATTTTAGTGAAGTATGTAGAAAAATCATCACATCCTTGACTAATAGAGAATAATTGCTTCTGAATTTGAAAAATCAAGGCGCCATTTGATTGTTCATACCTTTGCTTAATCTCATCCCAAATCTCCTTCGCAGTTTGCATGAATAGAACACTTTCAGCAATGTCTTTAGACAACTAATTCAATAGCCAGCTAATCACCATTGAATTGACTCTGTTCCAATTATGATAATCTTCAGAATTTATGTTTGGCTTCCTTACCGTTCCATCAATAAAACCTATTTTATTCTTTGCTGAAAGAGCAAGAATCATCGATCTTTTCCACATCGAGAATCCAGTTCCATCAAAGACCTTTAAAACAAGAACTGTACTCGGATTGTCTGAAGAATTGAGAAAGAATGGATTTGAAATTTCAATAGATCCAGATGAATTGCTTGAAGATGACGCATTCGAAGACATGATTACGAAAAAACAAAATCAAAGAAGAATTGAAAAGAAATCAATAGAATCGAAGGAATCTGTGATTGATAAAAAAAATCAATCAACAGAAAAAAAATGAAATCAAAGATTAAAGAACGAAGAACTGATTGAATCGTATTCATGCTCTGATACCATGTTGTTTTTCTTTGAAAATGAAAATTGGAATCATTTCTCATTACTTGGAAAAGGCTAACTGTACAAATATATACAAGAGAGAGTACCAGCTAACCACTTTCTAACTAATCACTAACTACACCAACTAACTATAGTTACATATCTAACGGTAATAAAAGTCAACTAGAGTCAAATTGGTTATTACACCAATCATACATACTTATAAAGCTGCATTTTTCCTTGAATCTCATGCATTTGAAACCCCCATAAAAATTTACAAACACCTCATGCATTTGAAACCTCCTATTTTAATGAATACCACTCAAAAATCTCTTAATAATGATTAACAATTCAAAGGTT